TTGAGCCTTACGGACCACTTGTTCCAGATCCCATCTGAGGGGGGCAACAATCCTTGAACTAGGAATAATAGAAGAAACAGGTTTTTCATGTGTCTCTGAAGAGTAGGCTCGGGACAAGGCATCAGGCTTAAGGTTCTTGGAACCGGGTCTATAAGTCAGGATGAACTGAAATCTGTTGAAAAACAGAGACCATCGAGCCTGCCGAGGGTTCAGTTGCTTGGCCTGCTGGAGATATTCTAGGTTCTTATGGTCTGTAAGTACCTGGAAAGGATGTCGAGCACCCTCAAGCCAATGGCGCCATTCTTCCAAGGCCAACTTAACAGCAAGCAGCTCTCGGTCCCCCACGTGGTAGTTGCGCTCGGCATTAGACAGGCGACGTGACATGAAAGCACAGGGGTGTAGTTTTCCATCCTCATTCCTCTGTGATAAAATGGCTCCTACACCCACATCTGAGGCATCCACCTCTACCATAAAGGGTATGTCTGGATTAGGGATAGAGAGTATGGGAGCTGAGGTGAATCGATCCTTGAGATCCTGGAAGGCAGCCGCTGCTTTAGGGCCCCATTCAATCTTGACTCCTCCTCCCTTTGTCAGTGCTGTCAAGGGAGCCACAACTGAGCTGAAATTCCTGATAAACTTCCTGTAAAAGTTTGCAAAGCCCACAAACCGTTGCACCTCTTTTACTGTGGTTGGAATAGGCCAGTTGAGAACAGCTTTAATCTTACTAGGGTCCATCTCCAGGTGACCAGGGGTGACAATGTACCCAAGAAACTTAGTCAGGGAAACATGAAACTCACATTTTTCTGGCTTGACAAAGAGATGATTTTCAAGGAGTCTTTGGAGAACCCTGCTGACATGGCCCTCATGCTCCTCCATGGACTTGGAAAATATAAGTATATCGTCCAGATAAACAAATACAAATATATTTAGCATGTCTCGGAGGACGTCGTTGATAAGTGCCTGGAACACGGCAGGGGCATTGGTAAGGCCGAAAGGCATCACCAGGTATTCATAGTGGCCTGTGGGGGTGTTAAAAGCAGTCTTCCATTCATCTCCTTGCCGTATCCGCACCAGATGGTAGGCATTGCGAAGGTCGAGCTTGGTAAAAATGGAAGCTCCCTGCAGCAGCTCAAAGGCAGTAGCCATAAGAGGCAGGGGATATCGATTCCGAATGGTTATCTTGTTAAGACCTCGGTAATCGATACAAGGCCTAAGCCCCCCATCCTTCTTCCCCACAAAGAAGAAGCCAGCACCAGCAGGGGAAGTGGAGGCTCGGATGATGCCAGTTGCCAGGGACTCTTGGATGTAAGCGTTCATAGCAGCCTGTTCAGGGGGAGATAGGGAGAAGACTCTGCCTCTAGGAGGAGAGGAACCGGGGAGAAGGTCAATTGCACAGTCGTATGGGCGGTGAGGTGGCAAAGAGGTGGCTCGAGACTTACTGAATACTGCCCTAAACTTATGATAGACAGCGGGAACTTGAGACAGATCTACAGAATCTTGAGGCTCGGGATTAGGGGCAGAGAGGCTCTGGGTAAAACAGGTGAAGTGACATGAAGGACTCCAATCTAGAATGGAACCAGTAGACCAGTTGATATGGGGATTATGTCTGTGCAACCAGGGATGACCTAGAATGACCGGATACTCGGGAGAGTCAATAAGGTAGAAAGTCTCCTCCTGCTGATGTTTAGCAATGGTAAGCTTGAGGGACTGAGTGGCCTCAGTTACTTTGCCGGGTTCAAGGGGTCTACCATCCAAAGCAGTTACTGACTGGGGATGAGGGAGAAGGTGGGTAGGAATCTTAAGTTTCTTGGCCAAGGAGAGATCTATGAAATTACCTGCGGCCCCTGAATCGATCATTGCCTGGACTGGGAACTGATGACTCTCCCAGGACAAAATAGCTTTGAGAGCTAGAACGGTGTTGGCAGGAGGAACTCTTATTTTCCCCATCACAGTCCTCCTGTAACTCGGTGGGGACCCTCGTTTCCCGATAGTTCTGGACAAGTGGATCGAAAATGACCAGACATACCACAGTAAAGGCATCGTCGCTCCCTCATCCGTCTGTCCCTTTCACTGGGAGAGAGTCTGGAACGACCTAGCTGCATATCTTCTGGAGGCTCGGGAGCTTGTTCATTGACTGGGGGAAGTCTGACTGGTGGAGCATGAACTGGAGATGCAGGTTTGTGAACAGGAGTTTGGGACTGGGATGCTCTGCCTCGAGTCATTCTCCGTTCTCTCAAGCGAATATCAAGGCGAATGGCCATATCAATAAGGGATTCTAGGTCTTTGGCTGGTTCCCGGGTGGCCATCTCATCTTGAATGGATTCAGCTAATCCGCCCAGAAAGCAGACTCTTAAGGCCTCGTCATTCCATCCACTACCTGCTGCAATAGTTCGAAATTCAATGGCGAAGTCTGCAGCGCTGCGAGGACCTTGACGGAGAGTAAGGAGACGTTTGGAAGCCTCCTGTCCACTAACTGGGTGATTGAACACCTTCTTGAATTCCTTCTCAAAGGCTGTGTATGACTGGCAATAACTAGGCTGGGACTCCCATGCCGCAGAGGCCCAAGACAATGCCTTGTCAGTCAGAAGGGTGATAATATAAGCGATCTTTGAGCGGTCAGTGGGAAAACTTGAGGGCTGAAGCTCAAAAGTGAGAGAGCACTGGGTGAGAAATCCCTGACAGGAACTAGGATCTCCTGAGAATGGCTTGGGGGGTGGAAGTCTGGGCTCTGCAGCAGCTACTGGAGCTATGGGAGGACTGTTGGTACTTAGGGGTGGTGCAGCAGGAGAAGCAGGAGAAGAAACCCCAGGAAGGCTTTGAAAGAGTTGCCGAATGGACGAAGTGACATCAGCAAGGAGCTCTGAGTGTTTTGTCATCACCTCCTCTTGACGACGGAGAACCTCTTCATGACGCCGGAACGAAGCTTCATGACTGCCAATCACTGCCAACAGATCTTTGGTACTGAGTGCCTCTGGGTCCATAGCTGACTCGGTGTTTCTGTCACGACCGGTCTTGAACCCGGGTCTCTGGTGTGGAAACCGATGTGTATACCACTAAGCCACAGAGGAAGTTGTGTTGGACCCAAACGAAAACACTCCAAGAGGGAATCCAGAAAACAAGGATTTATTAAAAAAAAAGATCAACTTAGGTTCTTCTCAAAAATGAGGTAGCAAAACAGACAACTTAGGTTCTTCTCAGAATGAGGTATACAAAATACTCTAACAGTATAATAAACATGTAAAGAAAACTCCACGAGGGGAGAAAACAAACAGATAATTAATGCAGTCAGCAACAAGGAAAATAAAACACTCTTACTAGACGTAGCTCAGGAGATCAAGGGAAACGCAAGGCAAGTTCACCAGAGATGACTCAAACACCGAGTGACGAACACAGACAAAGTGACAACTTAAATACACTGGCTGGAACAAGTCACAGGTGATCTAAATTAAGTAAACAAGAACACATGAGGAAGAACAAATACAGAGGGGAAACACGGGGACCTCTAGGGGAATGGAGACAAACTGCAGGATGGTGACACATCCATCAATTCATTCAAGCATCTGTCCATCCATTTTTCTTTCCACTTAACCACCTATCCATATATTCATCCATCCATCCATCCATCCATCCATCCATCCTTCAATCAGTCTATGCACCTACAGTAAACAGCCATCCTATAGTTTTATATATATTTTTGTACTGTATATATAATTTTATCTGGAGAATGCAGAGGTGTTTTTATCCATCCATTTGTTCATCTATTCATCTGCCATTACATCAATTGACCATCCATCCATCCATCAATCCATCCATCCGTCCATCCAAATAACCACCCATCCATTTATCTATTATCCATCCATCCACCAGACAATGAATCTATCCATCAATCCATGCATCCATCCATCTACCTACACATCCATCCATCCATCCATCCATCTAATTCATTTGTCGATCCACCTAACCAGCCATCCCATATTTGTGATATGATTTTATCTGGGGAATGCAGTGTTTTTTTCCATCTTTCCATTTGTTCATCTATTCATCTGCCAATTCATCAATTGACCATCAATCCACCTGTCCATCCATCTATCTGTCTATCCAAATAACCACCCATCCATTTATTTATCATCCATCCATCCACACTAAGAACAATTTAGCCAACCCAATTCACCCATTCAACATATCTTTGGTGGAAACCGGAGCGCCTGGAGGAAACCCACGCAAACACCGGGAGAACATGCAAACTCCACACAGAAACGCCAACTGACCCAGCCGAGGCTCGAACCAGCGACCTTCTTGCTGTGAGAGGAACATGCTACCCATTGGGCACTGCGCAGCCTGAAAATTCATCAAATGACCATATATCTATACAAACATCCATCCATCCATCCATCCATCCATCCATCTACCATCTATCTGTTTGTCTATCCACCTAACCAGCCATCCCATATTTTATTTTGATTATATATGATATGTGATATGATTTTATCTGGAGCATGGAGTGATTTTTTTATCTGTCTATTTGTTCATCTATTCATCTGCCAATTCATCAACTGACCATTTATCCATCCATCCATCCATTCATCCATCTGTCTATGCACACAACCACCCATCCATTCATCTATCATCCATCCATCTATCCATCTGTCTATCCACCTAACCATCCAGCCCATATCTGTCATTTGATTTTATCTGGAAAATGCAATGATTTTGTTTTCTATCCATCTATCTGTCTATACATTCATGCATAATCTGCCTATCCAACCATCAGGTCATCTATCTATCCATCTGTTTATCTATTTATGTCATCGCTATAACAATATTGTGACATATTTTTCTAATTTTTGACATAAAAACCTCATGAAATTTTGTGAGGTCATGAAAAGAGTGAAAATGATCATGACAAAAAGTATTAAAGCAACTGATTAAATCTGAAAGTGCACTAAATAAATCACTGTAGTGTAGGACTGTTTGTTGCTGTAGGTCTGTATGTTTCTCACCCAGCAGCGTTTGTCCCGAGGGTGATGACAGGCGCGTGCACCGGGGTGAAGGTCAACTCCTGCATCTCATCCTCTTCCTCACTTCTGTCTCCCACTCTCTCCTGCACGCTCAGCTCCAGATGAGCAATACTGCCAACAACTGGACGCTCCTGATTCAATTTAAATCAGCACACAGAAAGAGAGAAAAACAGACAAATTCACAAGTTAGTTTGAAGTTTAGAATCCTGCAGAACAAAAACCCAGAGGCTTTGATGAAGTTTTAGCTCATAAATCTTCAGTGTACGATTGTCACTCTCTGTGAGGATTATGAAACATCCTAAAAATGTTTCATCAGCAGATCTAAAAGAACATTCTCAAATGTGCAAAAAAAAAATCCAATTATGTGAGAATATTGGCAGAAGTTTAGGGAACAGGTTACAATGTTGAAATAACAAAAAGGTCAGAGGTTCAAAAACTCGCATGAAAATTCAGCATTAAAAAAGTTTACAAAAAAACACACCACAGTGGATAAAAAACTAGCAAAGCTCTACAAGAACTTTAAGTTCTTTATGAAATGCCTGGAGTCACAACTCTTACACAAGGACTTGATCAAAACCCATTTTTTATACTTCTTACCTATCATCAGACAGATCACCCACAAGCTATGTACCAACAGTTTGCTCATTGACCATCTAATGAAAAAGTGGCAAAGTCTTTTCTCAATCAGGCTAGCTTTAATCTGATAAGCCGACTTCCTCAATTTCTGGGAATCAAGGTGTTCTTTTTTATCTGCTTGGCTTCTTTTCACTTCTGAAAAAGCCCTCATATGCCAAAGATTTTGGAATTGCTAGTTTAATTATTCTTTCTTTTTTTTTAATCTTTTAAAACAATGAGTAAACATTTTACAACCTGGGTTCATGTTAAACAATATTCATGTCTTATAAAAGTGACTGTGCAAGATTATGTATTTAAATCTTTTTTATGTAGTAATACGAATAAACTGCCTTAAAAATTGCAAGTTTATTGGTAAATACGTAAAAGTGTTCAAACAGGCAACAATGTTCCATCTTTTACAGGTAAAGCACTATTAACACAATGGTTTCAAAATACCAGTACCTTTTTAATATGGTAATGATGTATAACTAAAAACTGAAACTGAGATTTTAAATGCATGAAGCAGCTACTTTTGGACCAGACACAAAAACTATACTTAACTAAAAGGAGAAAATACCAGTGGTATACTATAGTATTAAAATATTGGATTAAATGTTGTCACTAGGGTGCAAAGGCAGAGGCACTAAACAGTGATGTTTACTGTTTGTTTATTGTGATTTACTGATATATATATATATATATATATATATATATATATATATATATATATATATATATATATATATATATATATATATATATTACATCCCAACACCATTTTCTTCAGTCGATCAACAGTCTAAATCAATCTAATTTCAATCAACAGTCTAAATCAATCAAATCATGAAACAATTAGGCTGACTTAGTTTACTTTGTACTGCCATTTACAGTATATGCTGGGATCACACAAAATATCGAGCACTGCGTCACTTGCTCTTGTTTACTCACAGGATGTTTTTAACCTCAAGCTATTTTTTTCCATTAATTATAATAATTGAATGTTAGATGCGAATGAGGTAAATTGTGCAAGTTTATAGCAAAAGTGTTGCACATTCCACCTTTTTAGCTCAGCTTGGTGGTATTTTTCACATTAGCATTGACTTGGAGCATTATGTAATCCACTCGCGCTAATACTTAATTTCACTTTTGATGTGAACTCAGCATTATACAAAAATTTTTTTCCATATCTTCCATTTTGCCATTTTACTTCCAAGTCAAAGGTCTATTCATGTGGTAACTATTACATCAAACAAGGATTTAATTAATATGAATGCAACTTTTAAGTCAAAATTAGAATATTAAAGACTTCACAATTTCCTAAGAATCACATAATACTGAAAACTGAAAATTAAGTTTTGGCATCACAGAAATAAATCACACTTTTAAATAACACTAAAAAAATTGCAATTGTTAAAATATCTCAATATTTCTATTCTATTGTTGATTAAATAAATGCAGATTTGGGTAGTATAATGCATGTTATTTTTCAGTACTAGTGCTCTTTTCTTTCTAGCAAACTTCAGCTCTCTGCATTGCACTTCTAATGTTCTGCCTACTTTTGATGAATTGCTTGTGTGGCTGCAATCCTCATTTGCATTTGTGTCTGCAAAATGAATAAATGTAGGCCTAGTTCTAGATGCGGCTTGCTGGTATATGCAACCAAAATCACATCCAAACATGCATACTGTACACACGCACATATATACCCTACACAGTCTAATTTAAAGCACAATCTCAGCACTTCGACTAAATTGCAAGTGAATTCCAGCAATCTGCATTTGATTTCTAAACGCTGAACAGTTCAGGGTGCCCATGATGCTATCACACTGATATTTATAAATCAAACCAGAATTGAAACAGGACATTCATAGACAACAAAAAGACAATGCTCAATGAATAAATTAACATAATTAAAAATAAAAAAAACACCCACAATTATTTACCCAGAAATCACATGGCTTCCAGAAAGTTGAGCACTGCAGAAATGTCCTACATAATCTCTTGCAGAATAGCTTGTGTGCACAAATAGCCTTAAACAACTGTGAAGGCGGTAACAAAGCACTTTGTATGTTTATTTACCGACTATCATCATACTGTAGTCAAATGCACTGACTGCAGGCAACAGCATAAACATACATGCTCCCACACACGATTAACATAATATCTGCAGATATCCTTGTGAAAACGTGTGATATTTTCTCTCTCTGCGCAGGCTGTTTCTAACCAGCTGTATTTCCATTAAAATAGCACAAACATATTACCATTACAAAAGTTCCCGGATTTCTCAGCATGTTGAGCTAATACTTCTGTAAAACACCTGTAATAGGTGCTGATGGCATTCTGCTGTAATACAGCTGACTTTTAAACAACAAGGCAGATTATTCTAGTCAACTCATTTGAAATCACAAGATATGTTCGGAACAAATTATCATTGTAGTAAGTCTTAGACCATTTAGCTGACTATATTTTGTAATACTCCACCATTATGCTCGCTACATGGTTTACCAACACATATACAGTCTAATAGGACTTTAAAAACACCACAGGTACAGTTCTACAACAACCATTCAGTCCAATGATAAAGAAGTTGATTGCATATGTATACAATTTAGAGCTTAAACGAACCAGCTCTGTAACCGATGGATATATTATAAAATGTGAAATTGCTTATTTTTATAACATTCTTATTTATAATTCGGATTTAGAGGCTTAAAATGGCATCTTTCAGATATCTTTTATGCTGGAGATACTGTTGTCCTAAAAAAATTTAAATAAAAATTCTTACACATACCGTAGGAACGGTATATTAGAAAATTTTGACGGTTTTAAAACCTTGACTTTTCCAAACCACGGTATACCTTGAAAACTTTAATCATCCCAAGCCTAATTCGCACATTTAAAATCCTCCAGATTAGGCGGCAGGGCTAATGGGTGAAATAGATAGGACAAGAGACCTGTTACACTGCTATCCACTGTGTCTGCATTCAGACCCAGGAATCAAGGAGGGAAATCCTCTTCTTTTATAGTTTTTATATAAACATGATTATCTTCATAATTATATAACAAATTGTAGATATGTGTATATGAAATTACTAATAACAAATGTAGCGGGCATTAAATACTGTTTATTTCTTTGAATTTTAACGTTGTAATATAGAAAATCTTTTTCCCCTGCTCTGGTGGCCACGCCCACTCCCCCTCTGTTCACAGCGCTCCACGCCCATTTTTTGAAAGATTTCTGAGTTAGGCTTGAACCAAGAGAGGAAGTTTCATGCCCCTTTAATGTTGTTGTTAACTTAACGTTTTTGCATTGGGACAACCTGAATAATTTGTGTGGAACCTTCCATTCTTCACTGTGTACAACCACCAACTATCATAATCAACAAATTTGTTTTTAACAACTCTGCAGATAGATAATTTCTAGTACATACAATACATCCAATAGTGTAACATGTCGATCTTAACTAGGGACATTGAAGAGGCATTTTCACGACCAACAAAAAGCTGAAACAAAAGTCAGCTTCTTTGTAACCTGCAGAAACAGCTGAGGAAAAACTACAATTTTAACATGAACTCCTGCTGCATGCGACAGGTTTGGCTGGTTTTAATGATGTACCGCTGTCTGTTCACTGATATGAGGCATGTGTGTTTTCCTTTACAGCATCTCTATCATATTACATTTTGAGTGTAGGAGTTCAATTCTTTTGGATGAATGTATCACTGATCTTTGTTATAAATGAGCACATATATGTTTGTGTGTTCATATGAGTGTGTGCGTAGTGTACAATTGCAGCTCAAATATGTAAAAAAAAATATATATATATAAATAAATAAAAAAAATGTAAAGAACTCCTTCTGCCCTTGACATGTTTGGCTGTTTTTGTAGTGTATAGATGTCTGTTTACTGATGTGAGGCATGTGTGTTTTTCTTTACAGCATCTCCGTCACAGTATGTTTAGAGTGTGGGAGTTTTATTCCTTTGCATGAATGTATCTCTGAGCTTTGTTATATACGTGTGTGTGTGTGTGTGTGTGTGTGTGGGTGGGTGGAAAACTTACGACATGTGACAGCTGGTGGGCCGATGCCATCGGGGAGGGAGAGAGCAGAGAGGGGAGCTGCTGTTGCCATGGAGACCCCGTCGTGTGGCTCATGGTCGGGTAGCGTGAAGTCGCAACCAGCTGAGAGAGAGACAGCTGAACAACACAACCAGAGAAAAGAGGCAGAAAAAAAAATTAATACATATTTATCGCACAAAACAACGGGCACAAGCATCTGATGGTGTGGCAGTCCCCCGCAGCTGGCATCTACATAATGCCAACATCCAGACGACACAAAAGCAGGATGAAATTAGGTATAAACGTGACAGATCCGGCTTAAGGTCTTGCTTTGCACATTTTCATACAAGCCCTAATTTCTCTTAGGGTTTGTGTGAAAAAGAGGACTTGTTTTACCGCTTCTATAAGACTCGTGATCTGAATTTGAGTCTCTGTTGCAGTTTAAAGGATAGAAATAACATTATACACCCACATACATTCATATATAAGTTTTCTGATACAGTTAAGAATTTCTGCCTCTTTCTGATTATTTCAGTTGCAGAGTTGCATAAACAGTTCAGGTCAGAATTATTAGCCCTCATGTTAAATTTGAATTATTTTATATTTATTTGTCCCAAATTTCTGTTTAATGGAGATTTTCAGCACATTTCTAAACATATTACGTTTAATAATTAATTTCTAATAATTGTTTTCTTTTCCCTTTACCATGATGACAATAAATGATATTTCACTAGATATTTGTCAAGATACTAGTATTCAGATTTAAGTGTAATTTAAAGGCTTAACTAGGATAACTAGATTAACAAGTTGCAGTAATTAGGCAAGTCATTCTATAACAGCACTGGTTACAGCAATCGAAAAACTAAAAAGCTTAAGGGGGCTAATAACACTGATCTTAAGTTGTTTTCTTTTATTCTAGCCAAAATAAAACAAACTAGACTTTCTCCAGAAGAAAGAAGAAAAGAAAATCCTTGCTCTGTTAAACATGATTTGGGAAATATTTGAAAAACCAAAAAAAGGGGCTAATAATTTAGACTTCAACTGCACCTACCTTCTTTTTATTTTGAGCGTATTTTAAATATTATTAGTATTTTTTTCATGATAACTAATGCCTCATATTATAATTTTTAGGTTAGTAAAAAAAAAAAAGTATCACTAAAATGAAACCATCTCACATTTCATATTTATTAACAAAACATTTTCATTAAAAATATTTTAATACTTAAAATATGATTTACCAAGATTGCAAACAAATTGCAGAAAAGGGTTATCGCTTTGTTATTTTAATGATACTTCAATATTCCTCTCTATATACCTGAAAAAAGTCTTGTCGCCTATCCAAGTTTTAGGAACAACAAATAATAACTTGACTTCTAGTTGATCAATTGCTATCAGAAGTGGAATGGCAAAGGCCTCGAGAATGCACTTATTTTACCAAAATAAAATATGATTATTCATTGATTTTTAATTATTTCATTAGACAAAATTGTCGTCACTCAACAGAAATAATGCACAGTATAGAATATAAAGTCATGGTGCAGTGGAAAAAGAATGAATCTTGTGTATTACTCCTATGAGGACTGCATCCATACATCTCTGTAATAACTCAAATACTTTATTAATAACGTCATCTGGAATGAGCGTTCTTGCAGGACTCCCAGAGTTCATCAAGATTCTTTGAATTGATCTTCAATGCCTCCTCCATCTTACCTCAGACATGCTTAATAATGTTCATGTCTGGTGACTGGGCTGGCCAATCCTGGAGCACTTTGACCTTCTTTGCTTATTATTTGTTGCCGTTAACTAGGATTGATGACAAGACTTGTGTCAGGTAGTGTAGAGATCATATTACTGATTTTATAACAATTTATTAGATATTATAAAAATAATAGCTTAACAAAACCATAGTACATTTTCCATAAACTGCTGGCGTCTTTTAGTTGTTTTCTATGATGGAGTTTTTACTTTAGTGGAAAACCATATGTGCATAAACCTTGCACTGATTACTCATTACAAATTTAGTGAAAGGTTGACATCTTTGAAAGCATCCTTCTATTACTGTGAGCAATACGATATGAGATCATGTTGGAGTCACAACCTCTTTGATACTGAGATGAAGACATTAGGGCTGTGAAGAACTTTTAGTCAGATTTAACGCCTTCATCGCTCTGTACAGATGGACGTCCAGCAGCTCTCTGGCCTTCAGAAAGCCTGTGTGATGTGATATGATCTGTTCAGCACAGGACTGGAAGACTGTGATGGGGTCAGTGGTGTTAAACTCACGCCTGATCTGCCTCCAGAACAGCCAGACCACTGACAGCCAGGAGAGCCTAAAAGCATTTCTCCACTGACCCCAATACAGCATCAATTCATGACTCACTGACCCCAATAATGCAGAAACGCATGACTACAGAGAAACCCTGATCAGCCCAGACTCACTGTACGCTGTACTGACTCATTATCTGACTGCAGAACATGAATTTCACACCACGGTTGTACAATTGGGGGTCTGTGAACCCATTGAAATTTTAAAATGCAGTTCTTCACATGGTCGATATGCATTTCACAGGCATTTGTGATGAAAAACGAAATGAAACTCAGTGAATGAGAAGAGTAAAATATGTTTAGGGACATGTGTGAATAAAAAATAAAGCTGCTCAATTTTATCAAGTGTATAAAAATGGTAACAAAATGTAATAATGAAAATAAATGAAACTAAAATTATGGAATTCATTCAATATTACTGTACAATATAATAATAATAACAAATAAAAATAAATAAATTATATTATATTATATTGTACACATTAAAAATAACATTGCTCTGCTTTTTATACATATTATATATATATATAATATTTATACAAGAGTTCTGTCTGGTTAGTGAATCTGATTGGCTGATAATCATGTGATATTCTGCAAATAACAGCACTAGTACAGCCTCATCACTCTTGTGTATTACTCCGCCCACATACAGCGACAAGCAGAGGATACTTTACAGTTTGACAAATATTGCTGCTGTTGGACAGCATAATGTACTTTTGAGGCTTTTTTTAGTTGTGAAAGTAATTGTTTAAAATGCAACTATGTAGTTTATTTATAAGAATAATGCCTGTTTTAAAATATTAATAATTTCTGAGCATCGGATTAAGTGCATCGACCACCATCAACCTGTCTGAGCAAACCAAAGTGAGCGACGATTGACAGAGACTGCATAATAAGTCCTTAGGGAAGAAAAACAGCATTTTCTCAGCACATTCCTTCACCTCCTCTTACGGGTGCGCCCACACATTTTGCGCAATGCACTGGTCACTACTAAATGAATGGAGTAGGACCACACAGTTTTGTTAAATAAGCTGCATATAAAATTAACTTTTCAAAACCGCCCAAATTTTGTCATTAATTGGTCGTAATCTGACATATTACAGATTAAAGCATGCCTATAAAAATACGTTTAAAAAATATATTGTCTATTCAAGTAAATTAGAAAAGAAAAAGTGTCTTGTTGTACCTATTCCTGTAGACATTACTGTAGACATTTTTATTATGCCTCTATTTTTTATTTAATACATACATTTCACATACATATGACATTTGTTTAATTCATGTCTTTAAAAAAAACTATATTATATTGCATTGCATTGTATTGTATTGTATTGTATTGTATTGTATTCCACAGGAGTTCAGTGCGAAAAGTGTTTTAAAAAGTTGTCACTGCCCTGATAAACAGCAACAATATTTCTGATTCACACCAAATAGAAATGACACTCACTTCAACGACCCAATGAGTTTATTATACCCATCACTAAGAAAAAAACAATAAGACAAGTTAGAAAGCAGATGGTGAGAAAGTCATGGATATCTAGATCCAGATGACAGCAGAACCACCGAAAGACACAACGCCAAACAGAAAAGGTGCAAGATCAGAATAAAAATCCCGCACGTCGATATTCACAAAGCCAGCTCTTGTTTGACATACACTCACTTTCATGCATACTAAAAAACGTACAATCAATAACTGAGGCATAGCAGTGTCTGAAAGAGAGAGAAAGATATAGAGAGAGAGCCTCTTTTTAAAAGCATTAACTATAAATAGAGGGTGAGTGCATGCATCTAAAGCCAGCATTTTAACTCACTCAGAAATCAAGTGTATGGGATGTGCAGAGGATCACATGGTGTCATTATTCAAGGTACTAGACACCAGAACATCATGTCTAAATGTGCTAATTACAATTTTAATTTTAATTTTGTGCTTTGATAGAGCTGAACATGCAACCGCTCACTTCCCAGCGGTTGTTCCAGTATTTTCGCATCCATTTAATCTGTGATGATTTAAAAAGAAGTTAAGATATATAAAAGCCATTAGTTTATGTTATCATTTTACAATAATATGCATATTATTTATATTCATTTATTATATCTATGTATATTTATAAACTAAACTACTTGAAATAGAATAACCACTATCTAGAAACCAATAATAGTAAAGTATATTTTACTTCAGCTACTTTCCAAGGAAATAATTCATCCATATATATAATTAATTATTTGACATATATTGAATTACTAATAAATTCATATACTAATATTCACCTTATTCTCAGCTGACGAGTGGGCGCTGCCATTTGAATCTTTTTATCTCGCGACTTCCGGTCACATTCACTTCCATTCATTTTTTGACGTTAACAACTGCTCATTACGCTGCTTGATGTTGCAATTTAAAATTTTCTTATTATATTATGCTACTTGGTATGTGTAGTCATGCAAACATTTGTTTGTTGAGCAAGTTGTTTGGCCATTTTCTGCCGTTTATTATTCCTAGTCATTTTTCCCATAGGCGACTAGAATCGGAAGTTCTAAGACAATCGCGAAAACAGGCGCACTTCCGCATTTTAGAATAAGGTCAATACACTACCTGACAAGTCTTGTCGTCAATTTAAGTAGCAAGAGCAACACATAATAAAACTTGACTTTAGTTGATCATTTGGAAAAGAGGTGGAAAGAGGCAGAAGGTGGATTTTTTCAAATGAATCATCTGTTGAACTGCATCCCAATTGTCACAAATACTGTAGAAGACCTTTTGAAACACGCATGGAACCAAGATTCTCACGGAAATCATTCAAGTTTAGTAAAGGAAA